TACTCAGCAAAACATCGTCGCAACAACGCCACAGTCGACTTGCAATGTCAAGTACTCATCGCAGCTATTCAGTGGTTATCAATCTGTTTTCATTTGAATATATTCCTTTCATTTTTTTCCAATTCCTTCTTTCATAAATAGATATATTTCAATATTCACCACAACTGATACTCAGCAGCACTATTGTTTTGATAAGCCATGTTCAGTGCAGATCGCAACCGTTCGTTTGCTCGTAATCTCTTCATTCTATATTTTTGCATTCACCGGGCAATCTGAATGTTATTGTCAGATAACTTCAGTGAGAGGATATGATATCGTTATCACCGTATTTTATAGTACAGAGCAGTCTATTGATAATACTTCATGAGAATTCGATTATTTCACATCGTCGTTCAATTAAACTAAATCCCTCACTGCTGCTATCTTCTTCTGAGTCATATTGATTCGTTAATGTTTCTCAGTAACAATGAGAATATCTAATGTAGGGGTTCCTTCTTCTGCTTTAACATCATTAATTCCAAATATTTATTGCTTCAGAAGAAGATATTCACTGAAGTGTGAGTGATGCATATATCTATATACAATCAATACTCTTGACTCACAGCAATCGTACATGCACCTAATGATAGATGATGATCATTTAACTAATGATAGCTGCTGAAGTTAGATTGCGGCAAGTCCACTATGGGCGATTCTAATGACTTTTCAGGAACTGATCGAGCCCAGATACCGCGTTTTCTTTCATCCTTTTGGCTTTGTAAATGCAGTCCACTGATGATCACTTTATTCGAATTTGATTATCGTTCAATCAAGCGATCACCTCTCTTGCTTTAATGAAACTTCAACACTGAGTTAATTAACTCAAATCAGTTCATTTCCTATGTCATCCACCAGTTTCTTTGTCGTATTATTCCATATTGTTGATCAACTTCTCTATTTCGATTAATTTCAATTTCATTCTAAATGCCCAGTTTCTTTGATAGATTTTCAATCTATCAAATGCAACCAACTTCGGCAGATTCTGAGCAGCAATCTTCGTTGTCAGCAGTCGACAACAACTTTTTAAATCAATGTGATGAGTTCAATAAGATGCGAGTGAGCAATTGACTGAGTTCATTCCCTCTCTCATAGTGTCCACCTAATCAATATTCTACAAAAGTTGTGAAATGAAAATGTGTTGTTTCATTTCGAAATGGATGAAATATTCAAGTTTGTTTCGCAAAAATATGTCATTAGCTAACGGATGGATGGCATTTAGATTATTGTGTGCGTTTGTGATGAGCATATTTGGCCGTTTGGGAGTGCGTTGATGAACCGGAAGAGCATGATCACATTGCTGTTGTTAGGTTGCATCATCAGTGGTTATGATAGTGAAGAAACAAGCTTTTGATGAGTTTGTGAAACGAAATCAATAAAATATCAGCTGTTTTATCTTCCCATAAAGCCTTTTTAGCATTCTCGAACGCGAATAAAAGTTGCGTTTTGAAACTAATAAAGCAGAATGACAATGAACATTCCGAGAAGATGAATAGCAGCCAGGAATGCTTGATATCTTTCGGAAGGTTATTATCGAAAACTATTGTCTCGTTCATTTAGTGGTATTGCTTCATTTTGGGTTCTTTAATGGTAATTTTCAATTGAATTGCTAGCGAAAAGCTGAAAGGATGGAGTACAAGAAAGAAATGCAAATGACAATTACTCCAAATGATTCGTCAACAACAGAATTTGTTTCGTATATGAATGGCATACACAATTTCATCCATTCAGCAGTATCTTTGATGAATTTTCAATGCGATAGCCTAGAAAGAATAATGACATTAAGAGCAAATGCTTCTGCACAAAAAATTAACCACAACTTCGTTATATTCATTTCGTATTCAGACGTACCAGTGCAAATGTTCACTGTTAAGAGGATGATTCGAGAATTTTATTACTTGCAATTAACTTGGTCTAATTACTCAATTGACTGAAGAATAAGCATTATTTGGTTCGATTTGTACCCATTCAAAAATACATCCAAATTAATGACCAAATCTATTGGCTCACATCATCCATCCATCCACCCAGCTGCAACTCAAAATATTCAAAAAACTTCCTTATCAAGCAGCACTCGTTCAATCCATCCTTGTTAAATTCTCATCCGGTTATAGTAAGTTTCCGTTGTCGTGAGCGAATGCCGATCGCATTTCTAATCGCGGCTAAGTCATTCAATCCCGAACCCATCACTTTCATGCCTCCCCAGCAACCGGTAAGATCTTACCGCAACCATTTTTTGTTTAGTTCACATTTTGTGACAAAAATTCACAATTGTGATGAAACTGCAATTTTCTAGTATTATAAAATGGAGATAATTCATAGGAACGTTGATTATTGCAGCACTTAGCTGGGCTCTGATTCGAAAGGGTGATTGAAAGCTGATGCATACGAACAGATAAATTGCTAGTTCTTATTGCTACTGGCTATCTGCAAATTCANCAAGGAAACAGCGTCAAAATATATCGTATCTCACGATGCTGTTTCCATATCTTCAGTACCGATCATCTGCATTTTGTTGCAATCTACCAAGAAAATAGCAAATATCTCATGTCCGCCACTATCGGCAGCGATAATATTTCTGCATTCATCTAACTGTTCTCATATTCACCAACTGTGAATCATTACTATCAGCATTATTGCGTTTCACATACTTCAGGCATCTTTCTCGTCGAATTAGGGTCCACTTCGTTCAAAGAGCTTATTGAGAATTAAGAACGCCTCGGAATTGTTCATCAAGCACATTCTGTTTATTGTTGCTTTTATTCAACGCAATTATTGGTTCATTAATTTTGGAGACTAGCATGTTTAATCCCAGGAGATACAATTACCATCTAAATTTTGTTTTAGATGAATTCATTTGGCAAACTTGTCTGCAAAACTAGGTTTTGTTGAGTTCCTTTCGATAGCATTCAATTGAGCGGTCGGTGCTTAGTATTAGCAACAGTTTTTGTGCGCTCAATTTGTTACTTGAATATTGAAAGCGAAGAAGATTGCTCAAAATCATTCATCCTCAACATATTAAATATCAGTCTTATGGATTGAAATGTGATTGAAAGTGGGAATCATTTATTCAATAATATCATCTATTTATGTAATTGCATTCTTTATTGTGATATAATGAAATAATTCGAGAATGAGTGATATGTCAAAATTTTGCTCTGTTGAAAAGAAAAATCCATCAATGAATGTTACTTGTTTGACAGAATCGACAAGCCGAAGTGCCTTCAGCAGTTCACCATACAAAGAGCAATATTTATTAATGTGTATGTCAATAAATCCACAACGTACTCATTCATATGAAACGACAATCTCGATTGCTTCATGTGAATGCCAACTACCGTTTCTTTTTTTTGCAACGATGTGCGCCGCAGATAATGCCACCAAAAGCCTTTTTCAGCCTTGTTTATATTGCGTTCGTTCGGTTTTATCCTCATCGTCTATGTAGCAACTCTCATGCGTTTAACAAACTCAACACCTATCACTCATTCATATGCAATTACCTTCTCGAATTTCATACGGCTAATTTTGATGGTCCTGAGCTGATGTGGTGCTGCTTTAGTTGCCTTCAACGACTGCAGTTGGTCGTGTCCGTTTCTGTTATATTTACGAACGAGTAATTGCTTGTCGAAGTTTTGTATGAAATGTTCGGTTTGGTATGTGCAATGAAATCGAATAAGGTAACGATTTGTGAATTTCAGATAACAAGTTGATTTAGCTTAGTTTAGATTTACTGACATGACAGCTCGTTGATATTGCAATTTACAGTTTTTGATTAAATTTTAAATGCCTTCGAAAGGAGGGCAGCGGAGAATGTAAGCGTACCTCGAATCAGAGTTGGGAAGAAATCACGAAACGGGAATCCTAATCGTAACAAGCAAAAATCTTCCCCACATTCGATTAAACAGTTGTCCTTTATATCTTGCAGCGAAAATTTTGTGAAAGAATATGATCTTCTGTTAAATAAAGGTCCCGCTTTGCAGCAAATGGAAACTCCTTCTCGAAATGTTGACAAAAATGCAAGCCCCTGCACTTGAAATACACTAAATATTATAGTAACAACTCGTTATGGGTTATTACATCAATTTCAAATCATGCGAAGAATTTCGGCGGAAAATTCAGATATGCGAAAGTACCGAATAAAAGACTTCTGAAGGCGAGGAAAGGCTCGCATTGCTTTGAGTTTTACAGAGCAATCGTTGTTATAGTTGTAGATGTAGATTTCGTTGTTGTTGTATCCATTTCGTCAAGTCTTTTATTGCGGACTACTCATCTATTCCTTTCAACTCTAATCACTTATTTCCTCCGTACATTTGTGATTTGGGTAATGTTCTCACGAATCACGCTACCAATTTTAAGAAAATAAAACGCAAATAGCAAAATAAAACCGCAGTTACCCACTGAATCACTTGAAAGTTTTGTGATTTTTGCAATAATGTAGCTCGATTGAGATTCGTTCATCGGTGAATGGTTTAACTAAGACTATGATGATGTTTTATGCATTACCGTTGCAAAACTTGAAGCATCCAATACGCTCTCTGGAATGCTGAGTTACTGTACGAATGTGGTAATTGATCACTTCTTTACTCCAAAAAAACAACACTATTCACTGCTATGATGTCGTTTCATTTTCTGCAGCTTTTATATTCGTATTGTTCTATCCAATGGATTGATATTACCTGCTCCGCACCCTCATAAACAAGCAAAATCATTACACTAATCTCAAGAGGTTAAGATTGACAAAAGCTGATCGCGGTTTCCATCAGATTAGTCACGGTTTCCATCAAATTGTCCGAAGGGTTCAGTTGCAGGTTAAGTATTTGAGTTGACTGTTTTTGGCGTCGACCCATTGCAAAATACTGTAATGAACTGCTAGCATTATCTGCAACTTTTTCATAAGATTTGTCTATTTATTGTACAGTGTTTTGAATTTTCAGAGGGGTCGTTCACCAAAAGTTAAAGAGAAAATGGAGAAGAGCCGTTTAGCGCCGAAAACTTTGAGGAGGTGTCGTTCAGCATCACCCTTACCACCTCGTTCGCCTCTCCTCAACCAAGAACAGCAATTGCTAATCAAGTTTGTTTTTACTTTGCTATTCTCACTGAATCCTGACTTAAAGGTGACACTCATAAACAGTGGCACTCTTTGTTGACCTCCAGTTGGGTCTTCAGCTGATGTTCGTCGAAACTTGTCCACATGTCAAGTCAAATTTTGAATACGGCTTACACAAGCTTATCGCTGGCTTCGATAGAACAGAATCGCTTTTAGAAGTGGCGGTTAAATGTACTCCCTTGCCGCATTCAAATTCCATAAATTTAGTTACCATATATTTCAGCCTTCCACTGTGAAATGTCAAGTTCATGATCATCATCACATGAACAATGTCGTTCAGCAAACCACTATCATGAAAAATTTGAAATTATTGTTGAGTTTTAATGCCGTACAAAGATCGATGTCTGAAGTAGTCATTCATTGAAATGTTATTCCCAATAAGACATGAGGCGGATGAGTAGAAGTAATGCGTACTGAATGTTTCCTTCCTTCTCATCCCGTGAAGTTCTTGAATATCGGTTGATGAGATCCTCCGTTGAAATCGACTGAACCAGAAACAAAGTGTTTGAGTTTATGAAAGGATTTCGCTCTGCGATAAAGTATGTTTTCATAAATTTGATTGGACTTGATTGGACAATTTGACGTATTT